ATAAATAAAAAACGAGAAACATAAATCTAGATCAGTGAGTTTCACACGAGTAAGTTTTTTCCTGTCTACTATCTAGAGTTTTATAAGTTATATATATCCAACTTCTTTTCGAACTGGAGACCTATAATGAGCGGAACATGATTTTTGTTAATGACATATTTAGGATAAGTATAAACTAAAAATAAATTATTACCTTGAACCCCAAATTGCAAAGGTTGAATTTATTCGAATAAAAAGATAAAAATAAATATTTTATATGGTATTCATCTAGTTCTTTCAAATTAACATATTTTTCTTTATTTCATAAAAAAACATTATCCTACTTTTCTTTATCTAATATGATTTTAATGTCATATGGTGGTTAAAAAAATTGTGGTGATAGTTTTTTTCTTTTTCTTCTTTTTTTATATAATATTATAGAACTCTCCAAATAGGTAATAAGAGAACATATGTAATTTTTTTTATTCTTTGTTAGGATATGAAAAAAAAAATCAATGAGACACAGTTTTTAATTGTTAATTTTTCATTAGGTTCCCTTAAATTGTCATACTTATAGTTAATAATTGTACCTGAATTTGATTTTAAGCCATAAAAACTATATCCTATTACTTTGATATTTTTCATACCTTACCACATAATTCTTCTATGGGTGAGAATAAAAAAAATGATTCAACAAAACAATTGGTAATTTAAAAGGAAAAAAAAAAGAATAAGATCTTAATACGATATCGGGGTTTATATAATCCAATAGCTAAATAAGTGTAAAATGACATTTGTTATCCTCATGTTAAACTTGGAACTTTAATTTCGTTTTATCTACTTGTTTAACCGATAAAGGAGAGGTAGTCATCTTTAACGGGTAATCTTTAACCCTGTGCAAAAGCGTTAATACAAGTTATTTAGAAAATCAAGTATTCGCTTTAAAAGTTTAAAAATGGTTAATTTGACATTTAAAATATTTCTCCAATATTATTATTGTGGGGGGGGGAATTTTCAGAGATAATCAAATTATATAGTATGGAATTGCAATTTAGAAAAACAAAGGTAATTTGCAAATATATATATATATATAGGAAAAAAATCTTTTTATAATTAATTCTTAAACAAACTATATTGTTTATATGGGTAGCATCCAACTCAAATCCCAGATTTTTCGCTACATCCATTCCATTCCAATGACATATTAATTTTAAGGAAATAGTAAAAAATATAACAATATGAAAAGCTTAAGAAAGTATATAGGCCAAGTATATAGGCCAATTTTTAGTTATAAAAATTAATAGGCTATAACTTGTCAAGTTATGGTTCATAACCAGATAAGTTATGGATAAACTTGTCAAGTTATGGTTCATAGTCAGACAAGTTATGGACAATTATGGACAATAACTTGTCAAGTTATGGTTCATAACCAGACAAGTTATTGATGAAAACAGTAATTTGACCTATTTATTAACTTATGTAAACTATTAGCTTATTAATTTTAATCCATCTCAGGTCTTGACCTATTTCTCTCATTCTCCCTTAATTTTAAGATGTTACGTCCAATCCAATTGTACAAAATTCGTTCTAATACAATCCAATGAGATTTGGATTTGATTTTATTTGATTAGATGCCATTTTTCTCTTTTTATTTTAATTTGTAAGTTTTTAAAGGTATTTTTCAATCTAAACAATTATTCCTAAAAGCCAACTAATATAAATGAAACTGAAACCAAATTTTAAACATACCTCTTTTAAAGTATTTCAACAATCATTTTGGATAATTTGCTCAAAGTAACTATATGGATTGAATCAGATTGAATCGGTCAGTTATCCAATTATTTTGACAATTTAAGACCTGTTTAGTTCGTTAATTCGAGTTAAAATGTGATTTTATGTGAGAATTTTATATTGTAATAAAAAAATTAGATGTGACTGTGAACAGAGCAACTCACCCCAAATTGTTTTACACTTTTACTTGCGACACTGTTCTCCATTCTAACGACACTGTTCTCCATTCTAACTTTTCTACATACACGAAGTTTAACCTTCAACTGCTGAAAACCCCAATAATGGAAGCACACTTTGTCTGCGCGTCCATGTCCGATGTCCCTTTTTTGATTTATTATTTTTGTTAACCAGTAACTTAAAAAAATTAGGACGTGCTGATGTGCATCTCATTTTGTTGTGTTTTAAAAATCTTGGGTTATCACACGTGCATTCCTTTAATTTCTCTTGCTATTTTAAAAAAAGTCCACCACAATTTAAATTTGAAATTTAAAATAATTTAAACGATTTAAAAAGTTCAACGACGAGTTTTCGACGGTTACGTTTTCATCAGTTGTTACTCATTAAATATAAAAATTTAATGATGTGACATAATAAAAATTTAATATTATTACAATCATGTGAACAATATAATAAATTTAAAACAATAATACCTGTCAATATATTTATAAATATTGGATGACCATTAAATATTGAACCTCTCGAACAGTGAATTAAGATTATAATGAAAGTATTTAATTGTGAGCAAACACCAAACTTTTATGGCATGTTACCCAAACTTTTACGGCATTACCTAAGCGTATTTGAAATGGGTATGAATCAGAGTAGAGAAAATTCAGAATGAGTACGATTCGAAGTAAGGAATTGAAGTCAAAATAAGTTACTTACTTACAGTGTGTTTGGTAGGGTTGAAAAGAGAGAAGAAAATCGATGAAGAATTTTAGAGAGAAAAATGAAATTTTAGGTTGTTTGGTAGAGAGGAAATGAGGAAGGAATGAAAATGAGAATTTTATGAGGCCCACTAATTTTTAATCCTTCCAACTTTGGGAAGAAAAGAGAGAAAAAGTTAGACAAATAAATGAGATGTAAAATAACAATTTAACCTTCACCATTCATCATATTTTTATTTGTATTGGGGTATTATTGTAAAATGCCTTAGATTTAATATTTTCTTTTCACTTTTCTTTCTCTTCTACCAAACAACATGAGAGAAAATCATTTTACTTAATTCACTTATGTATTTCACTTCTCCTTCCTTCCTCTTTTTTATCCATCTTACCAAACATAACGTTAGTGATAGGACTCGAAATCGAAGTCACTCTAAATTCATTCACGTATTTATTTACACTCAAAATTAGAATGAACTAGTATAAAAACACTAATATACCCATTTTCATTTTTTTCGCTCTGAAATACCTTTTTTAATTTAAAAAATAAAAATTGTATACTTAGTGTATTAAAATTAATCATAATTAAAATATTTATTATAATAATAGAGTAATAAAATAATAAATATACTTTGCATGATTACTTCAAATATAAAACTAAATTGTCAAAATCTAAATAAAGTAAATAAAATAAAAAATAAACTGTTAAAAATTAAAATATATTATTAATTTTAATAAACAAAATAAAGTACATATTTATTGTATTAGAGGAAATAATAATCAGCTAATATTATAATATTAGGGATATAAAAAAATAAATATAAGTTGTAATTAATATTTATTGAATTTTATTTTTATAAGTAAACTAGAGATAAGATAATAATTTAATATTAATATCAAGAATGAGAATCTCATTTCAAAAAGAGTGAGATTAAATCTCATTTTTCAATCTCAAATTTAAGTAGGATCCACCAATCCCATTCATATTCTAGGATAAAAAAAAAGCACCTAAACGTTAAAATTGACTCCCATTTTCTAATCACGGTAATTAAACATGCCATTAGTTGTATGACGCTGTTTGGAGATTCTACCCAACTTTTTTGGGAATGAGTTATAAGGAGTGCTTAACCCTTTCGAAATAAACGCGTTGTTTAATAAGGTTAAAGAAACCTTTTGCCAACCAATTCACAAATATATTTAGATAACGTATTTGTTAATATATTAAGCCCCAATATACTTTTAAAAGTATATTTATGAATACATATATTTATCTCAAGAATAATAATATATTATGTTAGTAAGACCCGTTTAGTTCGTTAATTCGAGTTTTTAATTCAAATTGAGATGTGATTTTATGTGAGAACTTTTTACTGCAGTAAAAAAGTTAAATATGACTATTTCTGAGAGCTTTTTATTATAATAAAACTCGAATTCTAAACTCAAATCAGTGAAATAAACGAGACCAAAATCTGTCAACGCAAAAAGTAACGTTAACATTTCTGCTTATCTCAAACATTAAAATGATCAAATTGTAATGCTTAAATATAAAATGATGATTTTGTAGGTAGTGAAACTCAAGGATACTTAACTATTTCTTGGAAAGAATTATGGAAAATTTTATGCCAAGGTACTAAAATATTTTATCTGTATTGCACGAGTTTGAGCAGGTAGAAACTTCATCAAGTACTTAAATTTGCAACAACAAAAAAAAAGTTCTAAGTTATTTTGGCCTCGTTCATTTCACTAATTCAAGTTTTCAGTTTTAGATTTCTACAGTAAAAAACTTTCAGAAAATGTCACATCTAACTTTTTCTGCTACAGTGAAAAGCTCTAAAAAAATATCACATCTCAACTCGAATTCGCGAAGTGAACGAAGCCTATTGTAATATGATATTTCAGAACTCACAATATCAACACCTTTCAGAAAAAGAAAAAACAAAAATCAACAGGATATTTTTACTTTGACGAACCACAACTGTTTTCAAGAAATATACTCACCGATGAATTTTGATGATAACAAACAATTCATGATGAAATTATCTTACTACTTAATCTTGAGTTTTTTTTTTTTCTTTCTAGGGAATTAATTTTGAGTTGTTTGTTTAAGTGAAATTGTACAAATATTTTTCAACTCAAGATTTAACAAGCAAATTTTGAAGATAAACACAGCTCTATTTCAAGAAATGAAAATAGATTAGTGTATAGTGTTTTCTTCTCATAAAAAATTTGAATTTTAAAAACCATAATCAAGAATCCTAATTTGAATCCTGGTTTGAACCCGTATATCAAAAGGGCCCTTAGTTTAGGTAAAAACAGTTTTTCCTTCTTAGTGTTTTGCAATTTACATGACATCGGCAAGCAGCCTTCTTTTATCTTTTTCTTGTACAAGTGATGACATATGAATTCTGAGGAGACAAATTTAAAAACACCTTCATATAGATGTAAAGACAAGTGACCCTGTACAACTATGATGATTAAATGAGGCAGAGCGTTTCATATAGACGCCAACCTGGGTTATAGAATACTTTGGCAAAGCCAATTACCTGAAAGATTGACCGCCTTAGAGTTTCAAGAGACGGGAAACTTGCAACAGACATCGAAGATGTCGTCTAACGGAGCATGATCACCCGTGCCCTCATCTTTCCTTGCATACAATAATTGCTTACCTTTGAAGACGAACATTCCACCCTGATTCATGATAAAGAAAATGCACAAATATAAGAACAATGTTTGTGATACTGAAGAAGCAATTCCAGACACTATATTGATATTGAAGACCAAAAGTAAAGCTCATATAGGGCCTGATGTGTTGGAATGAACAAGATCAGACCTGTTGTAACACACTACTTTGATCATCTGGGGTCGCTTCGATGGTATAGTTCTTCACGGCTTTCTGCAGAGCTTCAAATCTAGAAAAAACCTTCGCCTGTCATATCATAAGTTTTAAAAATAAAACACATAAAAATCAACCATTCAAAAGACACCCCATCTGTAAATACTGCTGAAGCATGAAATGTTGAAACATAGGAAAAAAAGGAAAAAAAAAAAAAATTACACTGGCTGGATTGAAGAATGTACGCCCAAATCCGTAGTATAAGCCCAAAACATCGTATGCCTAAAACAATGTGTCATCTATAGTTTGGATATTGTTGATAAGGATATTCGGTAAGTTAACATAATTAATAGGATAAAATTGAAATAATTAACGGGATGGAAGCATTACCTTGCGATCAGGATCAGCATAAAGGCAATCCATTGGAAATGGCAACTAAACATGGAACAGAAGGGAAAACAAAACAAGAAACAGCATCAACGATAAAAAGTAGGATATATTACTCATTTGGTATTCCACATTTCCCTATCCAAATTTGTGTGGATTTCATAATAACCCATCTCATTTCCCATCCCACAATTTAAAAGCATGTAACATGGATAATGAAACACAATCATGTTACACGGCATACTTATTTTAAGAGGAATCAAAGCCATGTTCAAATTCGTTGTCTTGGTTTTATTGTCTCCTTTATTGTCCCTCTAGTTAAAGATTGACAACTCATTAAAGTTATTCTGAAAGTTGCTATTCATTGTAACACTCTTCAAGTCTATCCTAGATTTTTATGACTAATTATAAAGAACTTTATGATTGTTACGTATACTACGATTACTCAAGAAAATTGAAGGGAGAGAAGGATTTTAATGAAAAACTTGTGTTTGGATGGGTTTGAACCTCTCTCGTTGAGGTTTTTTTTCCTTTTTTTAGAATTTTTCACATTTTTTTTTAAACTAAACTAAAATCCTATTGGGTCTGGTATGTGGTGTCTCTACAAATACTCAGAAGCTTTCACAAATCAATCAGTTTTTTAAAATTATTGGCTACATATATCTAAAATTGTATTTTGGGCCTCATATTTTCAAAAGGTCATATCTTGGGCCCCATAATTTGTCAAAATTGCAAATTAATTTGACCCCGGAATGGAAGTTTTGGCCTCGTTCGTTTCGCTGATTCGAGTTTAGAATTTGAGTTTTGTTACAGTAAAAAGCTCTCACAAACAATCACATCTAACTTTTTTACTACAGTAAAAAGCTCTCACATACAATCACATCTCAACTCGAATTCTAAACTCGAATCAGCGAAACGAACGAGGCCTTTGTAAAAATGACCTCAATGTCGATGCACCGATTAAGAATACGACGTTAGATATCCCGTTTGGAATTTAATTTCATAAGTTTTACTCCAATAGACGTTTTTCAAAAGGGCGAGGGTGGGGGGTGGAATGAATTCCATTAATGTCATAAAAATCCACAATAGGCTTAGAGGGTGTTGCAACCCTCCTACATGTTATAAAAGTTTCGTCTCCAAAACTCCAGAATAAACTCGGGTAGGGTTTGCAAATTTCCAACTCAAGTTCTCAAGTTGTTTCTCTCACAGCATGCTTCCTCAATAGCACCTTAACTAGAGATATTTTCTTATTTTGCGACTCTTTCTCCTTCCTAGAAAGAATTTCAATGAGCTTCTCTTCATTTTGCAAAGTTAGCGTTAAGCTTCAAGAGTTCATAATTCATAATGTGAGAAGAGCCCTCGACGAACTTGCGCACCATTGTGACATGAAAAACATCCTGGATGGCCTTTGCAAAATATGAGGCCTAAAGTATGATTTTAAAAACATGTGGGCTAATTTCTTTTAAAAAAAAAAAAAGTCGATTGATTTGTGAAAGTCTCTAATGGAGTATGGAGGCATCACCCATGCTCACCACACCCAATAGGATTTTAGTTTAGCTTAAACAAATAAAAAGGGGGGAATATAAGAAGCTCGCATCATTTTTCTTTTTCTTTTTTCTTTTTCCTTAAGGGTGGGGGTGGGTATTGTGGTGGAGTTGGGGTGTGGAAAAAAAAAAAAAAAAAAAAAAAAAAAAAAGAGAAAAAAAAAAAAAAAAAGTGAGAAACTATAGAATATCCACCAAAAATCTATCCAAACACAAATTTTTCATCAAAATCCTTCTTTCAACTCATAATACTACCATTCCCCTTCAATTTCCTTCAATTATAAACAATCTTAAAACCCTAAAAAGCCCTCTAAATAATTTTACTCTTTCGTAGACAATAGTTTCAAGTTTTTTATTTTGACTCTCTCGTCATTTGAAATTGAAGTAGAACTTCCTTTTACTTGTTTAAGTGTAACCACTCCAGGCATATCTCTAAACTAAACTAGAGAGCTGGAAGCTCTTCCTCTAAAGATCATGCCGGGGGGCTTGAGAAGGTGCTCGACAAGGCTGGTCTTCGAGGAACTAATATTGTTCAGCACAATAGCATCTTTGATTTGGCAATCGGTGTGATGTGATCTCTAGAAGATTGTAAGAGATTTTGGTAGCCATGATTATGCCTGTGCCGTGCATGTGATTCTTGGCTACTATGAGAGAGCCACCAGGTTTTCTCTGATTTGAATATTTAGCAAGCTAGGTTTGATGAAAGAGTCTTACCAAAGAAAAAAAGCCAAAGAGAGACGAAGACATTACATTAAAAAGATAAGTCAATAGTTAATGACATTGACAGCGATTAAGACTTTAAAAGGAAGCTTGTCCGTTTATTTGTAGGTGAACTCTATGAATAGCAACTTTAGAAGTACATGTTGTTCAAAATCTTAATGAGGTGTCAATGTTTAATTAAATAGACAACAAATGAGACGGTAAAAATAGAGGCAACAGATTTGGACTCGAACATAGTCATGTCTGAAGACTTAACCCTATTGATTTCCATTCTCTAATTGTGAGAACCTTTTGAAACATATGGAGGACGTCAAGTAGTAAAAAACACGAACACCAATCATGCTATAGTTTTAGTAACTGAACCATGCTTAAAATAAGTACGCCACATAACATGATAGTGGTTAACCATCTATGGTTAAATGCTTTCATCTTTAGTGCACTTGAGCGTGTGCACAAAACACTAGGCAGCTACACGTTTTTCATCTAGTATCATTTAGAAAACTATCACCACATTTGATCTATGGCACATCCAAGAAACACTGAAGGCTGATATCCTAGTTTCTCAGTGCCCGCAACATAATAGCACTCAACAATACACCTTAACCTAAAATTGATTAAAATCATTGTATAGCCGATCACGTATCTGCTGTGCTATCAAAGCAGACAACAAGACTATGAAGGTTAGACGCTAGCGTGGTCGATATAAGCAGATAGTGATTTTGTGAAGTCCATATCAACAATAAAGATTAGAACTTGTGCCCAAACATAGCCTAGTGGTAAATTCTTACCTAACTTCCCCACAAGAAGAAGAGTTCAAATGCCCCACCCCTAAAGTTAAAAAAAACAATAAATAAAAAATAAAATAAAAAAAGAACTTCTAATTGATATCTTAATAACGTGTCCCCTATAGTTCTACAGAGTTTCCAGTGCAGCTTGCCAGCGTGTGCCTAATCAAATCTGATAGATACATAACCTAATCATTTCGCATTCAATTTTGATACTCAAGACGTTCTTAAAAGTATGATGATAGGCTTCTAAAGCTAGGGATATTTAATTAAATTTCATGAATTGCAGCTCTAACTGGTAGCCAAAAGGGAAGGAAATAGAAAACAAACCCTTTCTGCGAGAATGCGAGCTTTATTAGGAGTGCCAACTCCAACTGCAACTAGTTTTACACCAGCTGAATCAAATCTTTCCTTTGCTTCTTTCAGAGTTGAAGCAAGCTCCCAACTAGAAGCAACCACAAGAAGCAATGAGATAAAATAATTCAGATGAACCCCACACTAAACAACTTGTTGTTTATATTATTTACCAGCAAGGGCAACCAAAGTGTCTCAACAATGCGACAACAGCTATTCCCTGGGGAAAAAAAAGCCTGAATTATTCCCACAGAAAAAAGTTTTTTACACGACTCCTTACTTCCCCGGAGAGAAGTTTATTTTTTTACACAATTTGTAAAATACAATGGATAAATTTAACACGAGTTATAAAATATAAGGGATTAATAAAGTAGAGCTTTTCAATTAAATGCAGAAATTTAGGTTGTGTTTGGAATTGATCCCGTTTTTTTTTTTTTCATGTTTTTCGAGAAAGAAAAAATGAAAATGGCGTTTAGCGCAATAAAAACAAAAAACGGAAATGAAAACGATTGCTCTTTTGCATTTTTGAGTTAGGGTGACTTGAGTGATGATCTTGAGTTGAGTTTGAGTTATAACTTGAGTTGAAGTTGTAACTTGAATTTGTGTTTGGATGTGCACATTGGAGTTATGATTTGAATTGAGAATCTTTTTGAGTTTGTGTTTGAGTGGGTCAAAACTTAAATTTGTATTTAGATAATATTTTAATAAAAACTAAATGGTGATGAAAAATTTTAATTGGGTATATGGGTAGGGTTTTATTCGTCTTTTCATTGTGAATGCATAGAAAAAAAATCATCTCAATCAGAATTAAAACAAAAAGTTATGGTATTTTTAATAATAGAAAAAATAGTGTTCATTAACTTGAGTTCGAGTTTATAAACTCGAATTGAAGGAGAAACTTGAACTCGAGTTTAGCCCCAAACTCGAGTTCAAACTCAAATTTTACAAAAGAACATGAACTTGAATAAAGTTGTAACTCGAATTCAAACTTTTTTTGAGTTTCGTTGCAAAAGAGCAACCCCTTAGTTTAGTGTAAAATGAGAAAGAATTCATTTTTGTTTTCGTTTTCTCCTCTATCGAGCAAAGAGAGAGATAGATAGACATTAATAGGATTTTTTATACTGAAAACTATCTCTTGATAAAACTACCAAACGCATTTTTAAAAATAATTTTTGTCTGAGATTGAAAACGTTTTTATTTTAATTTTTATACAAAAAATAAATTTATTTTAAATATTTTTATACAAAAAATAAAATTATTTTAAAACAAGGTCTTAATTATTATCCCTATGTAGTATAATGCTTGGACATACATTTATAAAATGATACACATAATGATATGCATTGTGAATATATAGGGCTTGTCTACGGGCACTGCAACGTAACATATAGAGGGGAAAAACATAAAATGACAATCATAAAACGTAGACTCAAAGCCAGACTGTCTACTTCAAAGAGCACTCATTCATAAATCAGTTACTGGTACAAATAAATAAAGAAATGTAACTAAGGTTTATTGGAAAAAGCAACCCAAAACGATATAAATAGGGTAATGTATGTATATGTAAAATATATATTAAGCAGAACTATAATATAGGTGTAATAAATTAATACTATAACTATAATATAGGTGTAATAATACTATAACTACAATATAGGTATAATTATACTATATATTTACATATAATAATATATTATTAAGTCTACTATATTATGTGATATGTGTCCATCTATATTATATATTGATCTGTGGATAGAGAAATAATAGAATCTTTTCTAATTGAATCAAATATGATTTTAGACGCCGAAATTGGACAGTGATTAGTCTATTAAACTCAACTAATACAAACAAGCAAAACCCAAATAGGGAAAACGAATGCATCTTATCAACATATTAATCTTTTAATAACAAGCAAAATGTCACAAATTCGAAATTTCAACAACAGCTACATACAGAATTAAATTGGAAAATCGCATTAATTGAGTCGGTCAATGGAAATTAGTAGGATTTTGACGAAAATGAGAGAGAGATAAACACTTGAGATTAGAATCTTAACCTCGTTTTGATCCCAAAGATCCTTGAACAAGACGGGCTCGCCGGCGGCGGTGAAGATGCTAACGTCGCCGAGGATCTCCCCGATGCTTGGGCCGATATCGGAAACCGCCGCTCTCGCTACGACATGTCGTCTAAGGCCGACGACGACCCGCGTAGTTGACTTTGGGGATTGTGCGGCGGCCGAGAGGGACGGCGCGTGAGAATTCGGTATCGCGAGTGAGGGAGGCCGGGAACAGAGTGACGGAAAAGAAGGGAAGGAGAGAGGCGGCGCGTGGAGCGCGCGTGCAGAGGTGAGAGCCATGGGTTTTGGGGTTTGAAATTAGCGAAATCAAGCGGAGGAGAGACTTCTAGAACTTGGTTCGGACTAAGGGAGGTAAAGCTGAAGAAGGAAAAGAAATATAAAAAAAAATTAAAAATTTGAGAGCCGTTGGCACTTGGCAGTGATTGAGTGACGGGAGGACATATCGTGTACATGACGCCGTTTTTATTTATTTTCTTTATTTTTCCTCTAAAAATGAGAAAAAAAAAATTCCAAGATAAAATAAAAGAACATTTTTTGATTGGTTTTAAAAAAAACGTTTCTAAAATGTAATAATACCTTTTTCAAGGTAAAACAACCTAAAAATACTTTTATTAATATTGTGTAGTGATAAACAGTTATATATTAAATTTTGTTATATTTAGATATAATTCTTTTATAAAATTGTTGAAAATTTGCAATTTTTTTGTTTGAATAATATAATTTAGCTTTGTAAACACAATATTGTTAAAATCTTCACTATGAAAATTTCCAGAAATAAGAACTGCATAATCTTAAGCAAATCGGTTTATTACTGAAGATACTCTGTATTGAGGTTCAAATAAGAATAGCACTGCAATTCTTTTGTTCAGTATTTATGATGGTAGATTATCCTTTAAATTTTTAATTTGATAAATTATCTCTTAAAGGGAATAAAATATTCATATATTTTTTTTCAAATCGATGACGACTATATATAAAAATTTTGATGAAAACGCTTTTATAAACCTTACATTCTCACTAAAAGTATATACTAAAATTTCAAATGACAATAAGAGAACATTATATATCCTAACAGAAGATGTTTCCTCTTAAATATTAAGATAATTAATTAATTCAAACGTACTCCATTATATTTTATTAAAACTTCAAGGATTATTTCTTGATTAAAAATTCAAGAAGTAAACTCAAAATATATATCTACACACGTTTTTGGCAAGGATGCAAAAATAATGGCAACATATAATAGTTTGTCTTTTTAAGGAATAAATTATTGCTTCTTTCCCTCCCATGAATAACCACACAAACATTAGCTAAGAAAGCAGACAATAATCGCATATATATATATATATATATATTTTTAAAGGAAATAATGGCATAATATTTGATGAAAAAGTTTTACATACCTATTATTTATATCATTTTAAATAATTAAATATTTTTATAGTCTTTTGCTTTTTCTTTATAAATTAAATGACAATTACTCATTTTCTAGTGAGGTGACATGAATAATTTTTTTTTTTTACTTTCAAAATATGAAAGGAAAACTTGTATTCAAATATGAGTAGATAAACAAACAACACAATATAAAGTTAATGACCCGTTAGAGAGATGGACGTACACCTAAGGTTTGAGAACGGAAGATAATCTCAGCACACTAAAATTGAGCAAACCTAAGGCTCTATTTGAAAAAACTCCTCCCAACATAATAAGCTTCTGAGCATCGGAAGGATAGAACACCAACCCCCATTCAGAGGGTACATCAGCATCACGACACAGACAAAATTCTAACTTAACCATACAAACCACACCGTTAGTAAATAACTTAACCGAGTGAGAGACATAACCAACGCCGGATGACAAGAAAACCACCTCTTTTATTACAAAACAACAAGCAAAAAGTGGTGAGAACAACATCGCCACACCTTTATTACAATCTAAAACACAAAACAAAACAAAAAGAAAATCCAAAGCATTGTGGGCGTAAGCCTCCGATGATAATGCAACCGGTGAGAGGACCACGAAGGAAGAAAGAAGGCTTCGAGACCCTCATGGCGAAGTCACCGAAAAGAGACCAACAAACGATAGTGAATGATTCATCTTCACCACCGCCACCAACCTCTGGAGACAGCACCACCCCTGCCAAAGGAAGCCCCCCACCGCCAGGATCAAACCTCCATAAGGACCCGGCCACCCAACATTGATGGTGTCAGAGAATGCCTCCTAAATGTCTGATTTCTAACTTTCAAATAAAATCCAATCCGTCCTAATCAAGCCACCCCATGACACACTGCCACCACCGTTGAAGAGCCATCGAGAAGACGAGCTCGAAGACCCATTTTCATGGTCGGGAATCTGGCGACGCGCCTGGAAACGGTGTCGAAACTCCGATCAACACTCAAGCTTCTTTTCTTTCTCTCGTTCCTTTCTATCAAAAGATGACTAATATTTCTGGTTTTTTTCTCCATTTTAATAGACAAAAGTTAATAGAGAAATTTCAAAATCATTTGAAGAACTACATGTACAGAATTTGATTTAAATTTAAATGAAATTGAACAGAAAAGCATCATTCAAATGAAAAGTTAGCCAAAAGAAGAGAAGAGTATGTAAAATTAAAGTTCAAACATGGGGTATATACTATATAGAGGTAATTGTGGAAATATATAAGATTTTAATATTGAAAAGAAAATAATTTTAAATTTTAAAAATTTTTGGGTGCCTTAATAAAAATTTAGGGTGTGAATAAAATTTCTCAAGTTAACATTCACTATCTTTATGAGGCCCTCATATGTAATATAACGGGTGCGTTTGGAACTCGTTTCAAAATAATTTTGTTTTTTGTATGAAAATGAAAATGAAAACGTTTTCATTTTTATTTTGGAATCATTTTTTGAAAATGTGTTTGGTAGTTTTATTCCGAGATTGATTTCAGTTTAAAAAAAACTGAAATTGTGTTTGGTGGTTTAATTTTAAAAATATATAATAATATTTAATATTAAAATATATTAAATAAACAATAATGGAATCATTTCTGAACCCAATTCCATAATTCCACAACAAACCCAGTTCGTCTCTCTCTATCTCTTTACATTTTCAAACAAAAACCAAACCCAGCAACCCCATCCCTCTCTCTCTCATCTTCGATCAACAAAAGCCAGATTCACAAAATTTTACCCATGCATAGGAATAGATTGCCGGCAATTAGATCGCAGTGACGGTCGCCGTTGTGACCTTATCGCACGACTGCGACAAAGGACGGGAGGTTGAGAGAGAGAGAGGGGGGTCGCGATTCGCCGGTTTTGGGTGTGGCTTGTGACGGTGTTTCCTGGCGAGGTTCAATGGCAGGACCCACTGGGTTTTAATGTGCGAGGCGGTCTGAGTCGATGCCCGGTTGTAGTTATGGACAACTCGTGGTGGATACAGAGGGGCAAAGTTGGCTTGGTCGTGACTTCTAGGTGGCGCCGGTGGCGATTTCGGAGAAGAGAGAGAAGAACGAAGGGAGAAAATGAAAAGGAAAATGAAAAACGGATTTAATCCGTTTTCAAATTTTCAAAAAAGGACAAAAACGTTTTTGTTTTCAGTTTTTAGAAAATTTTGCACCAAACGCATTTTCTATACGCGTTTTCATTTTTTATCCTCAAAAAATGTGAAAAACGGAAACAAAAACAGAAACAAACAGGGCTTCGTGGTTTACTTTGGATTGGGTTTATGCCTACAGGACGTTGTAAAGTTTCGGGCTAAAAGCAAGAAATAATGACAGAAATATAAAAAAAATACCCTTTAAAGTATATAGGTCCAAAATTTTATTCCTTACTCTTATTTAATATCGTTTTAGTCAAATAACTATATTAATATAAAAATGTAAATCCATATACTTAATAAGTCAATCATTTTCTCAACAATGACATATCCTTTCGTAGTCTTTTGCAGTTTTCCTATTTTTTCCATCCGCATTCTTTAGTTCTTCAATTGACTTTCTTAGTTTGCATCATTTTCATACAATTTTGCTTTTTATTTATTTGATATGTGATAAGATAAAACGAAAAACAATAATTTTAGTTTAAATATTTAACAAAAGACATAAATCCTTATGTCCCTTAAGGTCATTCATCTAAATTTCTCTTCTTTTTTTTTTCTTTCCTTTCCTCTTATTTTCACTGGATACAATGTGGCACTAATATTAGTACCAATTTTACTTATCTAAAATAAGGAAACATCTGCATATCAACCTAATTGTGAATGTCAAATATTATAAAAATTAAACACAAATCAATATAGATTTGCATCTAACCTCAAAATAAAATTTGGGACTACAACCTTACATTCTCCACTTAGATTTTTGTACCTCTTTAATTAGTGTTGGACTAGTGTTTTTCTTTGTATAACTATAGCTCAATAAAATTTCTTATAATTTCTCTCTTTATGACTATCTTCTCTCATATTTATCCCACTTTTCTCTCTTCTTAGCTAGCGACGCTATCACCATAAGTAGCCCTCGCAGCCTCACATTGTCATCCCGCGGACCTTTTGAATGCTCATGCCAAACCGTACGAGGCCTCACAACCATTTCATGCTAGATCTAGTCCCATCTAATAAGATCTAGTCGGATGTCGACTTTTGATGCTACCAAATCTTACCTAACTCGAGCAAGCATAAGAACAATGTATTTATTGTTTTAAAATTGTATAAGCCACAAGCCATGTGTGAGTAGTCTCACATTTAGTGACTAAATTATTAATAACTAACGATGCGAGTATATGTGAGTGAGAAGCAGTAATTTACGAGTAACTCGATAAACTGGCACTAAAATAACTCCAATGACCGACAACGTATGACAATGAAATGGTGGTCACTCATTGAGGCCCTAGTCGCTTCGAGGGTTCGAATTGTGTGAATTTGAACTTATATGTGGGTTATTTGTGTGGTTTAAATTGGCATTTCGTATTATAAGATTAGTGTTGTTTAGTATAATATGAAATAAAGTTTGAACCAGTGTTTAGTTACATTATTAACTATGAGTTTTTTAAAAAATGTGAGTAATTAACAATATTTTGGGCTATAACCTAAAAAACTTTTAGGAGAGGGTAAGTTTCATAGAACCAGAATTTTGAGTTGAAATGAACTCAAAACCCAAATCTAAGTTCAAAATTTATGCAATTAAACAAGAGTTTAAATAAATTTTTTAGTTCAAATCCGTCACAACTTCCAACCAAACATGCTATGAGTTAATCCAGCCACAATATGAATGATAAACCACTTATGTGTGCTCATTTTCTTCATGTACAGGCTAAGATTGGACTCTCCTCCCCGAGCTCCATCTTACGGAGTATATAGAAGAAAATCAAGTTTAATTGTATCTAGTTAGTTTCCTGTTTTTTTAAGGCTTGTTCATTTATACTTAAATTTAAAAAAAAGTTTGAAC